AAGTAACGGAGGTGGTCGAATCATTCACTGAGTTCAAGCCCTAAGAGAAGACCAAGTCTTCCAAAAAGAACACTCAAGTCAAGGGCAATGACAACAACCCCAATCCTAGCCAAAGTGGGGAACCACGACCAAACCCAAGGCTTCGCATAAGGGAAAGCACAAAAGAAATCACCACCAATAAAGTGCTATATTTGTGAAAGTCTGCACTACTCTAGAGAATGTCCCTAACGGAGTCAAATGGGGGTCATGCAGATGAATGAAGCTGAGCCATCCAACAAAAACAAAGGCAAGGAGAAGGTGGATGATGATGGTAGAAGGTTGGGTTCTTGAAAATCCTAAATTTTATTCAAAGTCACTCCACTTCTCTAAGGAAATGATTACTCTTTGCAGAGGTCAAGATCAATAACACACCTATGAAAGCATTGGTAGACACTGGAGTCTCTAGCATGTTTGTGACTTTGCAGGTGGCCAAAATCGCCAAACTAATCATAGAGGAAGAGGAGGGGCTTGAGGTCCCTATTTATGGTGTTATTCGCAACATGCTAGTGACCATGGGACAATGGCATGTGAATTACCAAAGTGGAGGTTATCCCTATGGATGAGTATGATGCTGTGATGGGCATGGAGTTCCTCGATTAACTCACTGTTGTGATTCTCCCCGTGGTTGATCAATTAGGTATATTGATGAACGAAGCCCATGTGTAATACCACTCACTTGAGAGTCTAAAAAGAACCAAAAGACTCTCTGCCATGCAAGTCAACTGTGGAGCAAAGAAGGGACTTCCTTCTTATGTGGCGATACAAAAAGAGGAAACCGAGTCAAAGACCCAATGAGAGACTCAACTCAAGCTACCGATGGAGATTAAGGAGGTATTAGGGGAGTTCAAGGATATGATGCCCTCGAAACTACCTAAGGTCCTCCCACCTAAGTAGGAGGTAAATCACCAAATAGAGTTGGTAGGGAGCCAAACCCTAAGCATGAGTCCCTATCGCATGGCGCCATCCGAGTTGCAAGAGTAAGGAAGCAACTCACAAAATTATTGGAGACAAGTTCCATTCGCCCCTCTAAAAGCCTTTTTGGTGTGCCCATTCTATTCCAAAAGAAGCATCATGGGTCCTTATGCATGTGCATTGATTATAGAGCCCTTAACAAGTTAACAATCAATAACAAGTGTCCAATTCCTCTCATCGCTGACTTGTTTGATCAATTGAGAGAAGCATTGGTTCTCCAAGTTGAATCTAAGGAACAAATATTGGCAAGTACAGATCGCTACTGAAGATGTTCACAAAACGGCTTGCACTACGAGATATAGGCTTTTGAGTTCCTTATTATGCTCTTTGGACTTACCGACGCCCCTAACACATTTGTACTCTCATGAACAAGATATTACCCATATCTAGACAAGTTCATGGTTGTCTATCTTGACAACATTGTGGTTTATAGTAAGACATTGGAAAATCATGCTCACCACTTAAGAAAAGTGTTTCAAACTCTAAGGGAACACAAAGTATATGTCAAGAGGGAAAAATGCTTGTTCACCTAAAAGGAGATACCCTTTCTTGGCCATATTGTTGGAAATGGTAAGATAAGAATAGATGAGGCGAAAGTAAAGGTTATTACCGAGTGGAAGCCTCCACGATGTATACCCGAGTTGAGGTCTTTCTTGGGATTAACTAATTATTATCGAAGGTTCATTGAGAGGTACTCCTGCATCACCTCTCCACTCACCGATCTTCTCAAGAAAGACCGAGCATGGGAATGGAATGGAGCATGCCAAAATGCTTTCGAAGAGCTTAAGGTGAAGATAATAAAGCAATCGGTTTTGACGCTACCAAACTTCTCTCTACCATATGTGGTAGAGACGACGCGTCGAACTATGGTATTGAAGGGGGCTTATGCAAAATGGGCATTTCATTACTTATGGAAGTCAGAAACTCAACGATGTTGAGAGGAGGTACACGGTCCAAGAAAAAGAAATGATCGCGATGCTGTATGCCTTAGAACTTGGAGGCATGATCTCTTGAGCACACCTTTTGTAGTGAAAACCGACAATGTTGTCACAAGTTACTTCTAAACGCAAAAGAAACTCACGCCAAAGCAAGCTTGATGGCAAGATTTCTTGGTGGAGTTTGATTACCATATGGAGTATAAGCCGGGGAGAGTAACTTGGTAGCCGACCCCTTGAATAGAAAGGCCATGTTGGCGACCATGAGCCAAGTAAAAGGCTCTCTCGTGGAGTTCAAGATGGGCTTCACCGAGATCTAATGGCAAAAAGGTTGATGGAGCACATTACTTTGGAAAACAACCGAAAGTTTTGGGAGGAAGATGGCTTAATCTATACCACCAAGAGAGGCTCTATATTCCTTCCATAGGAAGCTCTTAAGGAAGGAGATACTAAGAGAGTGCCAAGACTCAAAATGGGCTAGATGTCCTGGAATACAAAGAACTCTAGCCCTAATGGAAGACAAGTATTATTGGCCACAAATTGAGGACAATGTGGAGGCCTGCATGAAGACTTGCCTTGATTGCCAACAAGATAAAGCCGAGATAAGGTCAAGTGGGGGACTACTTCAACCCCTGCCTATACTAGGACAACCTTGGAAATTTATTTCGATGGACTTCATAGTTGGACCTCCCAAGTCCGAGGGCTTCTACACTATCTTTGCGGTGGAGGACCATCTCACTAAGTATGCCATCTTCATGCCTGCCACAAAGGAGTGCACAATGAAAGAGGCGGCAAAACTCTTTATGAAGAATGTAGTCAAGTATTGGGACTTACTAAGAACAATCATTAGTGATCAATACGGGAGATTCAAGGGCAAATTTTGGACAGAGCTTTTCAAGCTACTTAGGTCCAAGTTGAGGATGTCCACAAGTCTCCATCCCCAAACCAATAGCCAAACGGAAAAGGCCAATGCTTTATTGGAAATCTACCTTAGGCACTATGTATGTGCCATCCCAAGCAATTGGACTAAGTTGTTGGATGTTGCCTAATTTTTCTACAACCTTCAAAGGAGTGAAGCCACTGGAAAACTATGAATGGGCAACAACTATTGACTCTGGCCGCCATAGCTTCGGGCTATCAAGGAGTAGCCCAGCCGCCTACCGTATGACATGGTCTTGGCAAGAGGAGACCGAAAATAACAAAGGCGTACTTGGTGAAGGCACAAAAGAAAATGAAAAAGTAGTGAACAAGAAAAGAATGGATATGGAATTCGAAGTAGGGGAGGGATGTAGTATTTATTAAGCTTCACCAAGTCCTCCGATATCCCAAGCTTCATAGGGCCTTGTGAAGAATATGAAGGCCCCTTTCGGATAGTTAAGAAAATAGGCTCCGTCGCTTACAAGTTGGAGCTACCACCGGCCTGAATCAAACTTTACCCGATCTTCCATGTGGGATGCTCAAGCCATACCAAGGAGATGACCAAGACTTGGAAAGGTGTGAGTCGCACCGAGCACCTATTAGAATTAAGGCGGCCTATAAGAGAAAAGTAGAAGAGATCCTTACAGACCAAGTGCTAAGAAGACAAAACTACATGCCAAGGAAGAAATTTCTTATCAAGTGGAAGGTCTTGCCGGACCATGAAGCAAGTTAGGAGCCCGAGAAAGATTTGTGGCAATTCTGCAAGGCAATAGAGGCGTACAAGAAGGGTACCAAGGATAGCACCCAAGACAATGGGGGAGGATGTCACTAAAGCGAGTCGAAGCGTATGTCCGAAATTGTCAAAGGACCAACAACCATAGTTAGGAAGGCTGGGGCCAAGACAAAGTCACCAGCGCACACCTCAGCAACGCTGAGGCGTAGTCGCGGCACAGCCCTGGGCGCACCCAAGCCACAGCCCCGTCTCAAGCATGGAAGGGCCTAGAAACCCTTGTTGATGTGACAGATGACACATTGGATGATAGTAAGGATGATGACAGAGACAAAGTTGATAATGTGGCAACACTAACGAGGATTACACACTAGGACAGACACGCCAAGCATGGGTACAGCACAAGCCGAACCCTCATGCAAGAGGTGACTGGGCATGCCCAAGCCTAGGCTGTGACGCACCCGGTGCATGAAGTGCACGGCGCGTATTGCACCGCTCGTAACAACACAGAACGATGCACCTCTTCTAGCACACCTGTGAAATTCTCCAAAACCCTTGTAAATTACAGAATTACCATTCATACTAACTATAAATAAGAAGTCCCCCTACCCACTTGTAACCATCCAAACTTACGAGCAATAAAAATTCTTCCTATAAAGTGTATTCCCTCTCTCACTCACTCTCTCTCTCTCTCGTTTCTTTGAGTGTTTGAGAGTGAGTTGAGTAAAGCCTTTATAAACAATCTTTCAAAAGCTTCGCAAGAGTGAGAAAGTGAGCTTAAGAATGCTAAAACTAGACTGGAAGACTTGCCCTCTCTAATATGTGTAAAAGTGATTGACTTGTTAGTGTACCGCACGAGGATTTGGTTAATTTTGACTCTAAAAGAGCCTTAGGCCACCCAAACGTTGTGACACAAATCACGTACATGTTTTAAATAATATTATTGGCTTATTTATTACCTTGATTAAGGACACAACAAACCAATTCGTGTTAGCTGTACATGATTACAAATCCATGTTTTAGAAGCCTCCCAACTGTTCCCCAAACCTCAAAAATGGGATTGTTCAATTGGGTAAAGTCATACTACCCTTTTTTAGCATTTATAATGTAGTACAAAAAACATAAAAATAATTTTTAAATTAAAAATATATATATTTAAAAAATAAATATAAATTAATATATTTAAAAATTCAGCATATTTTATTACCATTGTGTATAACCAAATAATAAAATTTTCTTATTTTTCTTAAATTAATTTTTTCAAAATAATTTTTTCTAAATTTATTTTTCTTAAATCTGTTTTTCTCAAACTCCATTTTTTTCCCAAAATGCCGTTCAATTTCCTCGTCGTAGGATAAGGGTTACCGTTGCAACACAACAACCAAGTTTTCTACAATCTCAAATGGTCAGGCCAAACCATTCGCCGTTTTGGAAGCAGAAGCATACTGCTTGTGGTACATGTACTTCGGACTTGGTCTTGCTTCAGAGAAAATAGGGCAGAACGTGGGTCTAAAGAGGCTAAAAACCCCAATGGAAACTTTAAATTTCAGGTACTTACATAGGCGTGCATTATGGTCTGCTCTGACTATTCAACAGCATTTGGTTACCTCGTGAACAGCATAATCCATATCATACGGGCCACCCAGTAAACCAATACTAATAGAAATTGTACGTACCATTCCACCAATAGAGATCAGAAAAAGTTATTTTCAGCATGACCCAGTCAACTAAATATTTACCGTTACCACGCAACTAGGTTGCGTCCACGTTATAAGCTTCATCACTTCTACCAGTGAAAATTTATCAGCTATTGCATTGACTGAGCGGCATCCTCTCATGCATCTTGTTTGACTTTCCTCATCAGCCCTACAAACTCCGTAAAAGCTGCATAGTAGATTTCGCAGAACTTAGGATCAAGATTGGAGAACTAAATAGGTAATTTCACGTCCCATCATGAAAATAAAGAAAGAAAAGTAGAAGCTTTGCTATAACTCCACCAACAAAAAAGTTATTAGAATTCAACGCAGAAAAGGACCTTTGTAAAAAGTCCAAGATATCCTATCATTTGATGAAGAAACATAAGTAAAAATTGTTGTTTAACGTTGCCAACCAGGAAAAGTGCATAAAAATTAGAGCTCATATTTTGTCATTGTTTTAATTAATATATTGCTGCTAATGGTAAGTACATCCTGTCAACAGGTTAAAAGAGTTTCATTACCTGGATCTGAATCATGAGGCCCTGGTGATGCTTCAGGATGATATTGAAGAGACATGAGCATTAGTCGAGGGAAAGCAAGACCAGCACAGCTTCCATCATTCAGATTGACATGAGTAACTTCCACACCATCAGGAAGTGATGCAGGGTCTACAGCATAGTTATGATTCTGCCACATGAAAACTTTCAAGTTGAAAAGGAACTCAATGCTTGTAAGAAAAGTACTCGTGAACATTTGTGTGAGTTTCAAGAAAAGAGATATAAGTTCCTTGTCTCATCCATGGACATATGCCTAAGACATATCCGCATCAGATATGCAGCACCATACATATTAAAGACAAGACGTTGTTGTAAACTGAAACCAACCTGAGCACTGATCTCAACACGGCCATTGCGATGGTTACGGACAGGATGATTACCACCGTGGTGACCAAACTTCATCTTAAAGGTTTTACCACCTAAAGCCTGGCCAAGCAACTGATGGCCCATGCAAATTCCAAAAACAGAACCTTCCCAATTATTTCCTTTACTGTTTCTACAGCATAAGGCACTGCAGAGGGATCGCCTGGACCATTACTGAAAAGTACTCCATCTGGTTTCATTGCTAGAGTCTTAGATGCTGGCCACGTTGAAGGGACAACAGTGATTTTACAGCCATATGATGCCAAGCGCCTCAGTATATTATGCTTAACGCCAAAATCATATGCAATAACCTTCATCCAAATAAGCGAGTTAAAAAAAAATTTGAAATTGAGTGTTTTAATACACATTCAAGCACAAACAGTCATAGTACTTACATGAAAAGTCTCTCCAGGTTTCCCGTCAGCACTAAACTCCCATTCTGAATCAGTTCTGTCAGTCCATTCATAGGGTTCCTTACAGGATACGCCACTAATTAAATCAACACCTGCGCAAGTGTCATGACAACTAAACATGACATGTCCAAATGTTTCCAAAAAACTTTTAACGGCGAATGGAATGCGTACCAACAATATCCCATCCGCGAGACATTTTCAAAAGTTTCTCGTCTGTTTTAGTTTCTTCTGTGCTCAATACACCTATAAGACTTCCATCTTGCCTTAACCTTCGAGTGATGGCACGCGTATCAACATCATCTATTGTGAAAACAAAACAGGAGAAAGAGAGGTTATTAGAGTCACCTGTCTAGAGATTAGTCAGATTCACCAATATAATATTTCATATCTAGGAATTTGGAAAAAAAGGACAGAACTCACATATTCCCATAATATTCCGTTCTGCCAAATAATCTCCAAGAGGTTTTGTGCATCTCCAATTTGATGTGCTGAAAACAACTTTTTAGTGAACCATATAAATTCAAATGCAATACTTATAAGACAAGGGGAATTTGCTAAATGTAGAGACCACAAAAATTTTTAACAAGGTGGCTTCGAGGAAAGTAAAAGACTCAATACCACAAATGTTATTCCCCATGCATGGCATGAATGAAAAGGGATATTTAAAGAATTAGTGAAAAGTGAGTCATATCAAGTATATAATATTTTGTTTATTATTTTGTTTCAGTTTAATCTTTAACAAACTTCCTTGTTCAAAAACGGTTTTGCTTTCTTATCCATGGTTTTATTAAAACCATTTCTTTGTGTTCCTTTCCAGCCTTCCAAACAGACTGCTTATATAAAGTAGGATACCTGATACTCAAACTTCTAATTACTAAACCAGCCAGGAAGCATTGCCTTGACTCTTCATCATCTGCAGATAAGGCATTTTTCCAAATCAGAACAAAACACAGCTCTCCAAGACAATATATAAAGATGTAATAGGAAAACATTACCCACCAAAATTAACCCCCGTGTTGCCAATGTGTGGATTTGTCATTAGGACAAATTGACCAGCATAACTAGGGTCTGTCAGAATTTCTTGATATCTGCAAGAAAACCAAACCAGATATATGAGCATGCACAAAATGTCAATTCGTAAAGTAAGTATTTTACATGAAAATTTTGTGATATCTTTAATATAACTAAATCAAATATATGACCATGCACATGATGCCAATTTATGAATCTGGTTCTTTAGCCTGTGTTTTTACTTTCCTCATGTTGAGATTGTGTATATAATCCTCTTCCATAATTAGAGATTATGTAAATCAATTAGAGGATTTGTTAGGGATTTGATTTATTTCCTTCTATGTATCTCAGAAGGTTGTATAAATTCATCATATGAGAATCAAATGAGTACAAGAAATTCATAAAATCCTTATTCTTCTCATGGTATCAGAGTGCATCCTAGCCCTCTGTTCATTGACTGGGATTGAAAATAAAAAAGTGGCGACTCAAGCTTCTAAAAGAAATAAGTGATTAGGAGGCTTACAGAACGAAGTCGAGCGAATGAAGTTGACTTGACCAGAGAAAGCAAGCAAAGTTGTCAGCAGTGCTCAAAGATGATAGTTCGACCAAAGTGACAGCAAGCTTGAGTTGCCTATCACTTTAATTTCCAATCCCTAGTCAACGAAATTTGTTGCTTGAGTCAGCTTTGTTTAAACTTTGATTTTAAACTGTTACGGCTTCAAACCCTGATTCAACCCAATTGACAAATAAAACTTTTTGATTCAATCCAAGTACAGTCTAACTCTTCATCTGGTCTGAAGAGCTCATCTGGGTATATTTCTATTTTATATGCTTTCTCTGGTACACCTACTATCACTTCAGTAAAGTTAAATGGTAAAAATTAATGGTCAGTGTCTATGAAACTTTGGTTGCTAGGTCAGGGTCTTTCTGATCATCTTGAAGAATAAGTGACTGACATTCCATCACAACATAGAAGTCAACGGGAGAAGTTTCATTACCAGCTATGTGCCTTGCTGATAATTGTTCTCTTTTACTTCTCTTTCTACTACTGATTTTCCTCGATTCATCACTTTAGCAGATGGTTCCAAAGTCACTAACAAAGGCATTGGACATGCTTCACATACTGCATCCTTGTCTTTGAAATCAGTCTTATTTATGCCTGAATGCCCCTTCATTTAATTTCTCTTAGTTAACTTACTTGTTCCTTTAATTTTTCAATAACCTTTGATTCTAATTCATTTGTTATATAAGACCGTGGCATGCGAACCGACGATTGCAGTAGGGCATGAATCACATGGGCTTGACTATCTCGAATCATCTCCATCTGTGGTTTGCACTACTGTTGAATCTCCCAATCTTTCTCCATAAATGTCTTGATCATCCCGTTTATTCAAATTAAAAAGAATAGTACCAACTCTTGCAAAATTGAAGTCTTTAAATTGTGAATCATGTCAACTTGGGGTCCTAGCCAAGTTTCTACTTCTTTGACTTTAGGTATTTTGTTACTTTTATTGATATTTTTCTCATTGTACTTAGTTATTTTTTAAGAAATATCGTTCTAAGTTATTTTCCATATTCCAACCTTCTGTGCTGAAATTCAAACTTAATTTAGAAATACTATTAAGATACTTCGTAGTGACAATGCCAAAGAATATTTTTCAAATTGCTTTTCTGCATTTATGTCCTCTTGTGTTTTCCAACATCGATCCACATGTCCTCACACACCCCAACAGAATAGAATAGCAGAAAGGAAAAGTGGTCATCTTGTTCAAACGCTCAAACATTGTTATTACATGTGAATATGACCTTAAATTTTTGGGGGGTTGATGCTATTTTAACTACTTGTTATTTGATTAATCGTATGCCATCATCCACTCTTAATAACCAAGTTCCTCATTTGATCTTACTTCCTAAAAGCCCATTGTTTTATGTTCCTCCTCGTGTGTTTGGATATACTTGTTTTGTTCATAATCTCTCTCCTAGTCAAGATAAGTTATCTACATGTATTGTCAAATGTGTCTTTCTTAGCTATTCTAAGTTACGAAAGAGGTATCATTGTTATTCCCTATCACGCATCATTGTACACATCTGCTGATGTAACCTTCTTTGAACAGACTCCACACTTTGGTCCCCCTCCTTTCATTAAGTCTAATGTTATATTTGAGGTCTTACATGTCCCCTACTTTGGACCTCCTTTATCTCCATTATAGATATTATCTCCAACAACCTCATCCAAGGTTACTTGTCCAAATCCACCACAACAACCTCTTATTGCATATCAACATAAACCACAGGTGGCTACTCCTATAGTCGAGACTGAAAATCATCCTAGTGAATCATTGCTTACTCCAACATCTTTACCTACAACGGACCTATCTGAGCCCCTTGATGATCTTCTTATTGCTCTTAGAAAAGGTACTTGATCTACTATAAATCCTTATCCAATTTTTAATTTCTCGAGTTTTCATCACTTATCTCCCACAAATTCTACTTTTGTATCTTCTTTGCCTTCTATTCCTATTCCTAAAAATATTTGTGAGGCACTTTCTCATCCAGGATGGTCACATTATGCTTGATGAGATGCTTGCCCTTGAGCATAATGATACATGGGACTTGGTTCCTCTTCGTCCAAACAAAATTGTTGTTGGTTGCCGATGGGTGCATACTGTTAAGATTGGCCTAAGTGAAAAACTTGATCGTCTTAAAGCATGTCTTGTCACCAAGAGATATACTCAAATTCATGATATTAATTATAGTAATACTTTTTTCTCCATAACTAAAATTGCTTTTGGTCGGATACTTTCCATTATGGTAGCAATTGGTCATTGGCTGTTATATCAGCTGGACATTAAAAATGCCTTTCTTCTTCGTGGAGATCTTGAAGAAGAAATATACATGGAGCAACCATCTGCATTTATTGCTCAAGAGGAGTAAGGTTTAGTATACAAATTACAACAATCCTCATATGGATTAAAACAAACTCCACAAGCTTGGTTCCGAAAGTTTAGTGTTGTTGTCCAAGCTTTTGATATGATACAAGGTAAATCTGATTATTCAGTATTCTATCATCATTCTTCATCTAGCCAGTGTGTTTATTTGATTGTTAATGTGAATGGCATAGATATTACTTGAAATGATCTTAAAAAGATATCTCAGTTAAAAGTAGCTTAGTCTAAGAGTGGTATTGCTATTTCACAAAGAAAGTATGCCTTAGATATATTGGAGGAAATTGGTATGCTAAACTATAAACCCATTGACAGTCCTATTGATCAGAATGTCAAATTATTACTTGATCAAGGAGAGTCATATTCAAATCCCTAGACAAAAAAATTAGTTGGTAAACTAAACTATCTTACTATTACTAGACCTGATATTTATTTTCCAGTGAATGTAGTAAGTCACTTTATGCAATGCCTACAAACTGACCATTACGACGCACTTGTTCAAATCTTAAGATACATTAAGAAATCTAGAGGACAAAGGTTATTGTAGACAAAGGAGCTACTCAAATTGTGGGGTACTCTTGATACAAATTAGGCGGTTCTCTTGTTGATAGATGGTTCACCCCAAGATATTGTGTATTTGTTAGTAGCAATCTTGAATCTTGAAAGAGTAAGAAACATAATGTTGTACCACGATCTAGTGCAGAACCTGAATATTGATCTATGGCAACAACTACTTGTGAATTGATATGAGTTAAACAATTATTCTAAGAATTAAAAATTTGTGAGTATTGAGCACATGAGTTTATATTGTGATAATCAAACTACCTTACACATAGCCTCAAATCTTGCTTTCTATAAGAGGACTAAGCACATAGAGATCGATTGCCATTTTGTCCAAGAAAAAATTCTGTCCAAGGAAATCATTACAGAATTTTATCAACTCAAGTAATCAATTGGCTGATATTTTTATGAAAACTCTCAAAGGTCCAAGAAGTCGTTATAGTTGCAACAAGCTTAATGTATATGATCTATCTGCTCTAGCTTAAGGGAAGTGTTGAGATTGTGTATATATTCCTATTCCATATTTAGAGATTATATTGTGTGTACACAAGAGATTATGTAAATCAATTAGAGAATTGGTTAGGGATTTAATTTATTTCATTTTACGTATATCAAAAGGTTGTATAAATTCATCAAGGATTGAATGAGTACAACAAATTCATGAAAACTTTATTCTTCTCACCTCAAAATATGTAAAAATTACTCTACGGTGCGAGAAAAAGGAAAAGTAAAACAAACAATTGTATGATATTTAAGGCTGTTGCAAGCATCCCATCCACAGATCAGCAAAGCTATAAGAAAAATCAGTTTAATATTCAATACAATTAACTGTCCCCGTGAGACTGAATAAGTTTAAAGACATGGAAGAGGCAAATTGATGTCTTAAAACTGATCAATTTGACTCTTCCATGCTTTTAAACTTCGTTATCATTGTATATCGTAATTGGAAGTAAGGTAAAAAATATATATGCATTAAATATGCATCGCAAAGGGCATCTTTGGGCAACGAGGCTCTCTGCTTTACAAGGGTGGGGGTCATCATTGTATATGGTCATATCACATCCCTACTTCGACAATAGGTAGCTTCCATAACCCAAACTCCCAGGGATGGCAACAGGACTGATTGAGGTCAGTTTGGCATGCCTTGAACCCACTTGATTAGAGGCTGGGGTCAGAGCAGGGCCTAAGATGGGTGGGCATACCTGTGGGCATTTTTGTTTATTATTAATTTATGGTTGGTTCATCATTCATAGACAAAATGATGAAAATATTATTATTTTTATTTCTTAATATTATAAGATGAAATATTGCATTAACGTGTTAACATAAAATATAAAAAATATATTGTTAATATAATTGTCAGATTTGAGGTGGTGTGAGCCCTGGTTGTGCATATTCCAAGCCTTAACCCCTCCTTTTATGGAGGGTCCACTTCAAGTTGGGACATGTCTGGTAGGTTTGTAGCCCCTACAAACCCCTGACCTTGTCACGAGAAATCAACATTACTATTTATCCAAGGTTTGCCTTCTTCCTTAAAGACATCCTTCAGGCCCAAGGCTCCCTGCATTGCAAGGGTTGGGGAAGGGTCATTAAGTCTATACAGCCTTATTCCTACTTGTAGAGAGGCTTTTCTTGCAACTTGAATGAGCTTCCACTCACTAAGAAGCAGTATGCTATATACTATTATTCATATGTGTTAACTTTTAGAAATTTAAAAATTATTTCATTTTATACAACATAGATAAACTGAATTTTCAAAAGCAATTTCATTTTATACAACATTTCTACCAATAGGTGAACACCGAGGTCTTGTACAAAAGTTCCAATTTTTTTTAAAGATTTATGGAGGCAACACCTAAAGGCAGTCGAGGCAACTGAACAAAAATCCAAAATTCTCAAAATGTAGACAATCCTTTAAAACCAGCGAATGCAATATCACTAATTATAATTAGGCCTTTCTTTTTTTTAAAGCTTTTCATGGTGGGGAGGGAGTTATTGGACACTTCTCCTCCTACTACTTCTCATGCTTCTAAGAGTAAACATACAACGAATATTGTTCAAGCAGTTATTATGCTTATCATCTAAGCAAGGAGAAAACCTAGAAGACTTTGATAATATGATTTTGAGCTACATACAAGAATTGAAACAGATAGTGAAGATGCTCCAATTAATGAATTAAGGAAATGACAAACAACAAGAGAAGCTGAAGATTTCTGATACATCCTTGAAACAAAACAAAAATGTACTTGATGAGGCACCAGTTGAAGATGGGAATCAGCCAATTACTAAAGACACAAGACATGAGGCACTGAAAACCATGATTGAAAACTTGAACAACAATCAAAAAATAATGAAGAAGGAAGTCAAAGAACAAGAGGGGCACATAAGAAGATATCCATGATTTTGAACATACTTGCACTATCAAGTTTGTCCTCCCTTATGAGTTCCTCTTCCTGAAGGCAGCAAATAACTATATTTCCTTTTTACAGTTTGTCATGCCCATAAAGAATTTCCCAATAAAGTTCAACAATTCAACTTCTTCATTATCCAGCATTACCATACTCAAGGTTAGTTTTTCACCAACTTGGGAGAATGATAGAGGATGAAGATAGAAAATTGACTAAAATCTTACTTGTTTTGGAAGCCCTAGATTTACTAGGATTTTTATTAATTAAAAAACATATATACAAAAGTAGGTACTATAAGAATCTTTATTTTAGGGAAGTTGGCTTCTCTGCTTATATATTTAATTTTTGAACAATTGTATTCAACTCTGGTAATTATGAATGGAAATTGAGATTTCTCCATCAAATTTTTCTTCTGTCCATTTTTTTTCTTTTCTCTTTGCTGTTCTATCTCTCTCCCTTTCTTCTGATTCTACTGTCTTACCCTTTCTCCCACTCTCCACTATTGTTCAATCTTTTCTATCCTACTGTCACACTATTTCACCTTTATTGTGCAACACCCTCCTATATCTGCAGGTAAATAATTACCCTAATTCCTACACTTTCTTCACTCATAAAAAGCTAAATGTACAGCCACATTACACCAATATTCATCATAAAAAAAAAATGCACCACCTTATGCATTGTCATCAATTTAAGAAAAAATATTAATGGTATTCTGCAAGGATTTGCCCCACCATATGCATCATCATCAATTTAAGAAAACATTATGGACATAACTGCATGGACATGAAAAAAGATAATATTCTCAAAGATCCTAAAGACCACCCCTCAACCTCTAACACTATTGCAAGAAGCTCCCAGTTGATTTTTGTTATATTCAAGTGAATTTATTGATCCATGAGAACAGGACAAACCCATATTACCACAATAAGACAACCCCGCAACATAATCTTGTAACTCTTTGACAGGTTGAGAGCTGAGTACAAATCCAGCTGCAACTGCTGGAATGTGATAAGAAGAATAAGCACACCTGCAGGATGCTAGAAGGAAGACTAATATGGACTTGACCTTAAGCAATATTTTACAAATAATGGCTATTCTAATACTCAAAACCCAAGTTAATGGCTCAAATTTTTATCATAGCATGTAAGCACCAGTACTCCTCTCACCACTTTGACCCACTGCACCTTACAGTTTTGTCATTGATGAAAATTCATCTTTAGGGTAAGGACTTCCTGGTAGGTAAGCCATCCAAATACCATTCTCGCCTAAGCACACTAACTTCATGATTGAGAACGCAATCTTTACACTTCTAGCATATTAACATTCTTGCCCTTTTAGACGTGGAATGATCAGTTCATTCCGATCACTAGTGCAACCTGATCTCAAGTCTTTGCACCTGGATAACCCTTTACTCTCACTAGCGTCAATATTACATTTCCACCAAAAAACGCACAAGGTAGTGGAATATCGCTATATCCAACCATTGCAATATTAAACTTGACCAATCTCACACAAAAAAATAAAAATAAAAATGAAATGGCATTTACAACACATGCAAAATATAGCTCCAAAACATGAAGTTAGTTCACTTAATATTCTGATGAAGAAAAATAGTCACCATACCCAGTTAGGGATGTATTGAAGACCACTTCACCCACTTGGTTCCCAAAGCCCCAAATGATTTGGCCCTCCAAATTGAACCATCTTCAAGCACAAGTCTGGCATCTGCTACCTTCCAAGGTGTTTCACCCAAGCCTATACATTTGTCAACAAAAAAAGTTTTAAAGTCTGTTAATTTGTGTGTCTGTAAAAAACATGGAGCTATCCAAGAGAAAATTTTACAGGGAACTACTTAAATCCACCAACAATCTGTCTTGAAAGTCTTAGGAGACATGTCACTTCTAAAATTCTCATGCGCTGAAGAAACAGAACCACCTCAAAAACAGCCAACCATTTCCTTTAGTCGGGAATTTATAAAACATCAAAATGATATAAGATGCAGAAGAACAGAATTAGGCAACAAGCCCTATTTATTTTATTATCTAGGAAGGAATACGAATTTTGTCTATTTTGCATAGCAAAATTTATGAAGTATTCAGCCATTATGGGAAAATTGATCCAATTGCAAAAAATATATAAAAGAAAAAGAATTAAACAAGCACCATTTGCCTTCCAGAAAAGGTTAAACACTGTTACCCTAAAATTCCTCAAATGTATTAAAATTGAAATCACATCATAGTGATAGATAATGAATCAAATTGAATAACAGTAAACAAATATACAAATGAATGCATGTCAAACACATATATATACATCAGAATGTATATATGTTTGTTTGTGGGAATATGAGATTACCAATGGCAGCACCATGACTGGAAAGAGGGAGAGAAGAGCATCTGATGGTGAAAGCCCTAACTTTGGTGATTTTGAAGCAAAACAAGTTTTTAACAAATGGATTCTCAAAGAACAATCCATTGATTGGGTGGCCATCTCTCCTTGTGTTCTCCCTTCTAGTTGCAGGGCTCAATCAACCACAAATCAAAATTCCTGAACAATGCTCTAAAATGTGTTAGGTAACTTTGCCATAAAAACCTACTCAAGGATGGTAGTAAGGCAAATGGCCAGCATAATTATTAGTTGTATATGGAACCATGCCATCATCTTGTATACATGAACAATTTTTTAAAATTTTATTCCCCGACATCTGTAAGGGTATAAAATTAGCTTGGGCCAAATATGGCTTGCTGCCAAACTTCGTTTGATTAAGCCAATAACTCCAAATTGTATAGTAGAGCCATATGCATACACAAATATATGAATGTACAAACAGTTGTGAACTTCATAAACAAAAATATAACCTCAAGACATAATCTAATTGTACACATTTTTATTATTTACTTCTGTCCAAATCACAATTTTATGCTAAATCATAAATTCCGTCTAATTTTTTCTGAATGTTTCAAGTTGCTAAATAAATGTTGCAGAAACACCTGCAACCAATTTCCATCATCTCATCTGTGACACGAAACATGGCAGCCACTTGTACATGGCAGTGACCTTTCATGTTCTATTTGTTGAGGGAAAAACTAAAGTTTTAATATTCTACTCTAATACCTAACCAATAAAACTACTGAAAAGCTGCCATGAATTGCTGTCAATGTGCTCGGTTATGCAGGGTTGCCATGTCAACAGTACAAACCACCAGAGAATGACCACTTACTATACTGCACGCAATAATTTTGCAAACTTAAAACAAAGCAGCATAGAATTGAAGATTTTATTAGCATAAGATTATTATCTAAACAAAATTAAATAATAATCTGTATATTTTTCCATTATCATTATAGTCCTTATATAATATAATGAGTCAAGGGAAGAACTTCAAACTTGAAAAAGGCTATTCTCATATACTTCTTAAATAATATTAGTGGACAAAATTAAACAATAATCTGTATATTTTGTCACTATCATTATACTCCTTTAATAATATAACCAGCCAAGGGAAGAATTCCAAAGTTAAAAAATGTTATTCTCATATACTTCTTTAATAATATTATCAATAAAAGAAGTATTTCAAAGTTATAAAATAATATTGCCACAGAAACAACAAATATGTTACAAAATAATATTTCCACATAAACAACATGAATGTATCTATATATCAATATATTTTTTCCACCTTCCTGACATAAAAAAATATGGTTGGTTACCATATCTAACAAAATATATATATATATATATTATACAACCATGAATTAAACCATTGAAAAACAAAACAAAAACTAAAGAAAAAGAAAACCAAAATTCCTTCATTAATAATTACAATTCAAAATGCTCAAGATAAACACATATTACAAGGCTTTACACATTTCAAAATTAAGAGATCTTGACTGGAGCAGAAGCTATTGAAGTAACTATACCATTGATCCCATATCAAACAACCAAACAACCAACCAAAAATTTGTAAATTAGGATATGAGAAGAGGACAAAGACAAACTCCTACATAATGATTCGTAGACCAAGTAGAATCAATTTGCACCGCAAACAGAAAAGATCATAAACTTAATTGACTCAAAGATATTCAATCTTCATAAACTATAAAGACTACCTTGGTCTTAGCCAAAATGTTCAATATAATCTATGTTATATACAAATTATGGAACCTCATAATATATTTTAAGACCAAAATACCCTCATTGTTTTTTGAAATACCATCTATACCCCTAATCTTTGAATCCTATATTATTTACTACATTCCAATTCAGGATTGAGCATTTATAATTACTACATTTAATTACTGAGCATTTTTTTTTAATTTAAACATACCCTTTCAAAATTATAATTTCGAATAACCCCAACAGAGCACAAGTCAGAAGCCACATCAAAATAAGTCAGCAACCTAACGACTGGACATCCAAATAAAAAGCAAACTACTGCTCCATTGGTCCTGTTTCGCCCATTCCATGAATTATCTTCTTTCAACAATTAATAGAAAAGAGGCAAAAATAGTAATAACAATACATAAATCAACCCTTTCTGATGACATCCCCACTCCTGGTCAGAAAACCTTCAAAGATCGAGGGATTAACAGTCACGTGAAAGCTCATCAAATCAACCATACCACACTTGAGAACTAGACATAGTATTTTAACAATTCAAATAAGTTTAGATTGAGAAATCACCAATAAACCTGTATTAGCCACTTCCCAAAGTTAACATAACAAAACACAAAAAATAAAATAAAATAAAATTATTATAAAAACCACTAAAAATTTTCGAAAAGAAAAATAGATTGCAGAAACAAAACATACTTCAGATAATTGAAACATGAATGTCAGTGACTCGCCCCACCTCTATTCAACTCACCCTGCCCAACTTGGTCTCACTCACCAGTGCTCTATGGCCAATTTCAGAAGTTATTACAGTAAGAGACGTAGGAAGAGAGATGTGATCGGCTAATTATATTGCAAATTTTACAATCTCCCTTCATGTTTCCTGCAACTACAATTAGAATCACTATCATTATGGCCATTTGCTGTCACTTAATGACAATTATCGTCTACACCATTAGTATTGAAGATATCAACAATCCAGAACAAAAAATACTGTTAACCATCACATATACATGTACATCCACTTAGTGAAATACTGCACAGTTGGTTGGTATTTCAATAATACATACATGCATAAATATAACTAAGGATGGAGTAGAAAGAGTTACCAAGAAATCTCACTCTGATTAAAAGAGCTTATAAGCTTGGTCCGTAAATTCTTCCACTCTTGCAGCAGAAATCAAAAGCAACGGAGTCCCCGATGATTGTGCCAAGAGAGAGATGGTGGGCGGCGAGCGTGAAAGCCAAGCTGCTTAACACCGAGAGGGAGACGGCGACTGGGGCTTGTCCGTGGATTGTTTAAAATATGGAAATGTTAAAAGGTTTGGAGCAAGAAATAGTCCCCCAACTTAAGCGTAATGTTCAATTTGGTCCCTCCACTTAAAAGTATCCATTTAAGTCCTCCGACGTTCACAAATGTGACAAACCGGTCCACCCGTTACTGGCAATAGATGGAAGGAAGGAAATGTTAATCTGACCTTTTTTGCATTCATTGACATTGAGATAAATCTAAAGGGATTATTTTGTAAATTTTATTAAAATTTATTTAAAAAAGATAAGTAGTAAAAAATTATTTTCAAGTTAAATTTGAGTTGCGAGTAAAGTCACATTATTAACAAGTTGCAAGGTGCTTTTTCTAGAGACGAGGAAGGTTTAATTTTAAAAGAAACTCACGTAATATGGAGTCTTTACATTGTTTAAACAAAACTATGAATCTGAATGTTGCTTCAAAATTAAGTATAAGAATCTATCATTTAGAAATCAAGAATAATCGTTTCAAAATGTTAGAGAAGCAATAAGTGATAAACTTATATGAACATAAAATATTGTGCACTTAAATGGCAATTTTTATACACTAACAGAGATGAAGTAAATTTTTTTGAGCCAAAATATAATAAATTTATAGTAATTTTTTTAAAATTCAAGGTATATAAAAATTAATATATGTATATAAAAATGGAAACGTTTTCAAATTTAAAATTTTTGCTTCCATAAAAATATTTAATGATTTTGGTTTCAAGTAACTGGAATCATATATATATATATATATATATATTAAATTTGGTAAATTTTTTTCACATTTGTCAATTTATTAAAGTATTATTTGTCAGTTTTAATGATTTTCATGTATATTTTTTATTTGAATATGAGATTATTTCCATTACTGTTTGTGTGAAATACAATTTTCTGATATGGTTTTAAATTTTTGAATTGTAATGGTGATTCAATTATTATCATAATTTTTATTTAAAATTCTCATGAAAAATAATCAGCTTCAGCCCCTTTTTTATTTTTCTTATATTTGGTTTTGTTGAAGATTTTAGCATTTCTTTGAATGAAAATAAATGTAACTTGTTTTTTTTTTTTTTTTTCATTTTGCCTTTTGGGTCTCTATCACTCCTTCAATCAATCTCTCTGTCATGTTAATCATAATTATTTTAACGTCAAAATAATAGGGTTAGAATTGCTGGATTATAATTTGATTAAACCAGTTTTCATTCAATATTTATTCATATTAATCCATCATTTTGTATTATTTAACCAGGATATCAAAAGACTCCCATTGAAAAAGTTGCAATTTTGTCTTCCCCTGAAAATTTTTAATTTGCATTATGGAATTAGTGATTTCAACTGCAGTTTCTTTGTAATTTTTATAATATAAATAAGTCGGTGCTTATAAATAAAAAACTAAATATCTAAAAGAGATTTTTTTTTTGGAAAATTATGGAGCCGGTCATTCTGTGAAAAAAATGAATCAGACAGCCAAATTATAAAATATTGACAAAAAGGTTGGTTTTAAGCTTTTTGTCTATTTAAAATAATGTAAATTTCTGAAAAACCCTACACACAACCCTGTCCATTTCCTTATTGTCCTTTCTCTCGGTCCCAGGCTATTCACTTCAGTTCCTGGTAGCCATAGTGTAAAACCCCCAAATTTTGGGATAATTAATGAAATTAAAATGTTAAGGGGGTTAATTGAAAGAAATAAGAGTTTGGGACTTAAATGGGAAAAATTGAGAGCTTAATTGAATTAATTATAATATAAAGGGATTTGAACCTGAATTATTAAGTTTGTCAGGGACCAGATTGAAAGAGAAATTAAGTCCAGGGACTTAGTTGCAAAAAAAATCAGAAAACTCTCATGTAACGTACGAACATTCGGTTCTTCGATTAATTAACCATCAATCTGAGCGTTTCCAAATAAAATTTCTTTTTAATCTTATGCGATTGAGTAGTGTGAGCCAAAGCCCTTGATCAATTGTTGGAAAAGTAGCTTCTAAGTCGATAATTTTCCAGCTTTTGGTTCGTGCAACTGTCGGCCAGTTCGGGCTTATTCGAGCTTATTTCTATCGATTAAGCTGCTTTTAAGCCGATTGGCTTCCTTGGTGTCTCTCGTTTATCAATTCCG